AAGGGGGCTGTTTAAATAGAGGAGCTTTGGGTGGCTACCAGAGGCAATTGATAGGTGCAAAACAGTGCTTAGGTGGAGGGATGAAGAGCTCTAGTGTCCAATCAGACTTAGCCAGCTCAGGTTAGTTTAAATTTGAGTTTTGGCCATTGAGGGTTCCCTTGGGCTGGCTGTTTTCGACGGCTGAGGTGGTGGCTGGCCAGGGTTCGGTCATTTATTGGCTCAAGGAGGTATAGTATGACATGATGGAAAAGATTTCAAGATTAGGCCAAAAATGGGATGAAATCCCTTAAATTAGGGGACCATTGATCCATAGCTCCTCTTGGGTGGGCTAGGTGAGTCTAGCCTGGTCACTAGGGTGTACTGGATGGCTGTAGAAGCTTTGACTTGATCAATTTGGCATGGCTTGGTCAATTTTGGTGCATGGGTTCAATTTGGGTCAATTTGACTTGAAGTTGAGTCTAGGTTGGGCTCGCCATGACATTGGACTCAATTGATTGAGAAACTTGGAGTAAATGATTGTCATAAAGAGTTTAGAACAGATTTGGAGTGCTTTTGAATTGATTTGGAGGTTCAATTTGAAGGAATTTGAGCATTTGATCAATTTGGGGATGCTGGGTTACACTTAAGTTTAGATTATGCTAGAGTTGAGCTAAGTCCAAATCGAGCGTTAAAAATGGTCTAGGAAAATGTTATGAAGAGTTCTCAACATTAATTTAGTGTTAATTTTTGGGTTAGGACATTCTGTTTGGTGGAATTTGGGCACATGACTAAATTGGGGTAAATTTAGGAATTTTGGATTTAGGTTGAAATTGAGTGAAATTGAAGCCTGACCAATGCCAATTGAGGATTCAATCTGGTGTGTAGGAATGTTACAAAGGGGTTAAGATTCAAATTGGAGCAAGTGGGCTATAGGGCTCAATTGGGTGAGATTAGACCATATGGTCAAAATTAGGGACTTTGGTTTGGATTGAAATTGGGTTCACAATGTGAGTCAATTGAACTTGGATTTGGTTTGAATTGAGTTTGGTCATTGATGAATTTGAGTTTAAGATTGAAATTGGAGAAAATTGGAACCAAATTTGTGGACATTTGGGGTGAATTAGGGTAATTGGGCCTTTAAGGGCAATTTGGGGCGTTTTGTCAAGTTGGTCAAATTAGTCAAATTGGGTTTAGTTGAAGAGTCTAAATTGGTTTTGGGGACATTTGAAATGATTTTGAGGGTTTTGGAAAAGTTTGGGCCACCAAGGATATTTTGGTAATTTTGACAATTTTGGGGGTATTTTGGTAATTTTGGCAATTTGAAGATGGTTTAGGCAATTTGGGTGGTTTCAAATGGTATGAGATGATTTTTGAACAAATTTAGGTATTTTGGGTGAAATTGAGAATTTTGGTCAAACTTAAGGTTTGTGGGTGTTTTGGTAAATTGGGTAGATGTGGGGGGCAAAAAGCTAAGTTAGGTATTTTGGTGAAATTGAGGTGCTAACAACCCTATTTGAGCTATGGACCAATGGAGTCTCCATTTGGGTCCTCTATGTAGTTAGTGGGCCTAGGGGACCATCTACATGAGTCTCCCAAAAGATCAAGGGATCAAAGTCAACAAGTTTGGGTTTAGGGTTGTGAGTGAGATGTAACTTGCAAGTGAGTGACAGTGTGTGCACCAGCTCAAGACCAACACCCAGATGTTTGACCCTAAGGCCAAACAATCCTATGAAGACTCCCCTTAAACTCACCCATATTGGCCCCACTTACTAAGTGCTAGAGGTTATGACCAATATGTGGAATTTCAAGTTGAGTAAGGAAGAGTTTAGATTTTCTAATGGTGAGAGTTTCTTTTCTAGTCCTCTAGGAATAGTCAACAGAAAAGTCCTATGGCTAGACCCTAGGCAACTAAAGAGGAAAATAGACCTCAACCAAAGTGAGGTTAACAAATGGACACCCAATAGATGTGGTGTGCTGGGCGAGTACACCACGCGTATTAGCATTGACCGACGAGATCAACATCACCAACACGGATTACAAAGAGTAGAATTAGGTGACAGTGGTTTTCGCTTGGGAAGAACAGAGATTCTCACCGAGGAAAAGAGAGGAGATTTTGGGGACAATCGTCGGATAGACCGACAGTCCCAACAAAGATTCGATTTGCATTGAATATCTCAGAGATTTAGTTTGGATTTGATTTAAAATTTCAAGGAGATGGCGCGAGGAAATTGGATTGAGTGTAAAACACAAGCTCAGAAAAGGGAATAGGGCTTCAAAGCCTAACCCGAATGTAAGGATGATAATAGGACGTCAAAGCCTACCCCGATTGTAAGGATGAGAATATGACGTTTAAGCCTACCCTAAATGTGTGGATGAGAATAGGACTTTAAAGCTTACGCCGAATGTGAGGATGAGAATAGGACGTCTAAGCCTACCTCGAATGTGAGGATGAGAATATGATGTCTAAGCCTACCCCGAATGCGAGGATGGGAATAGGACGTCAAAGCCTACCCCGAATGTGAGGATTGACGGTAGAAGACTCCGTGTGAATGTGAAGAAATTGGTGTAGAAGATATTCGTGCTACACAAGCAAAGAGTAAGAAACCTCAAACTCGAGAAAAACAAACTCAACAAAGCTTATCATTTTATTTTCTTGTTATTTTTATCATATTTAATTATCAAAGTACATTTTCAAAATTTAATTTTTATTGGTTGATTTTCAAAAAGGTTGATTTTCAAAATTTTCAAAAACAAGTTTAAATTTTAATATCAGACTTTCGTTATATCGTTCTTCGTTTATTATAATTTAGAACTAATGTATGGTTCCATGACTTTATCAATCACACAAAAGGAAAATTTGACAAACATGTTGAAATTTGAAAGAAATTTCATTGATCTGCTTCAAATAGGTGTTACAGACTGAATACGTGCTGAAAGCATCAAAAGAGACAATCATGCTGAATACATCTGAAACATCATATGCTGAGTATATATCATATATGTTGCTCTAACGCAGTACAAAAAGTGACAAAACTGTCTATTTGTCCTCTGTGGGACGAGCTCCTAATCAAGTTGACATATCAAGCCACGTTCCAGGGCAAGAATTTCTTTTATGTGTGCTTAGAGGTGCAACCATCTCATAGCTCGTACGGGCGCAACTCCTCTAACTCTGGATCTGGTTGAAACCCATACGGTATCTTGTTATCGTCCACTGCGGTGTCGTACCCCTGAAATGCAGTGCTTGGCTAAGTCTTCTCCATTTCTTTTCAGAATCAGTACTGAACCCATCGGTAGTAGAATCTCAACAGGTCCTCTGGACTCAAGGCCGATAACGTCGATTTCTTTTCCGAACAGTATATTGTTTTTACTCATGAATGCACCGTGCAGAATGGCCTCATGAAATCATGATGGTCTATGTGCGGGGAATGCAATCTCCTTCATCATATATGTTGATTGTACAACTGTTTGAAATGCAATCGGCTGGTAGTATACTCCATCTGATCATTCTCTTTATTTCAGAAGGCATCAGATCCACTTCATCGTTACTTAAGATACATGGGGGTTTCCTTGCCTATCTTTAGTGAAATTGTAATAACAACCACATTGGATGATTATTCTGTCTTTTCCTCGCATCCACTTTTGTGGTTCTGAATAAGTTCTTTCCATTAGTAGTCCCGCTCGACCTCTGTCCCTCAGATCGATTATACAATCTATAATTTTCCTTTCATCACTTTCAGAGAAGACCATTGTATATAGCTCCAGGCCCTCCAGAATGTTGACAAAGTTTCATTGTATTTTCTCGTAGAATCCAAATTCTTACTTCTTTACTTAGCTCATCTTGTCTAATTCTGCCATGGTGACCATTTGTGATTGTCGGGGCTGCTCCCTCATTTTCACATCTGTGTGATACCACATCTAACTTGACTCTGTAGGTAATGGAATATGTGAATCTGTGTCCGGGTAAGCTGTCTCCTGACGTCCCGTGTCGGCGGCTATGAACTCCTCAAAAGAACTGTAGTGGTTTAAGTGGAGAACATTGCATGTTGGGCATTCCGCGAATGCTCCTCCTTTTGATGCTTGAATAGGAACTTCGATGTTGCACATCAGGCAACCCCTATAAAGTCCATATGGTACTGCTGGTGGTATCTGCTTTGCAGGAAACTCGGACTCGTCCTCTGTGGCAGGCAAACTGGAGGAAGTTTCTCTCATGCATGGGTCGTAAAACCAAAGTTGATTATAAGCTTGCCATATTTGAAATCTAGTTGACCGTCCAATTAACCTTTCAAAGCATTCAAAAGTGGTTTAATTATTTAATTCGAGCTTGATTTGATTCGGATTGGATCAATTTTGGTGTCATATCATTTGTTTCGCCAAGCTGCTCAGTTTGACTGCAAGGTTGCTAAAATCGGAGTTCTTAATGATTTTTATTTATAGTGTTTGGGATTGACCTCCCATATAAATAAAAAAAGAAATTAAGACTACTCCATCTGACGACCTAAAGAGATTCTCATGATTGAACGACATATTGTGGACATTTTAGTGACTGGATGATTTCAAAATTGGACAATTTGGGCCCGTTCGATGTGTCTCAACAAGACGTTCATTTTGACTATAAATTTGTCAGATTTGGAATTCATTTGCCACTCAAAGATTCCAAAGGTGATTTAATGGCTTGATTTGGCCTTGATTTGGTCATTGTATCAATTTTGATGTTATTGTGTTTATCTCATCGAGCTGGTTTGTTTAACTATAAGTTTGTTAAAATCTGAGTTCTGAATGATTTTTAATTTAAGCTCGAATGTTTCTTGCTAAAAGAAATATTTTTTAGAATGGTGCTCACAAAGTTTGTGTTTCGAATGACAATTTATCGATGGCCTGTAGGTATGTAAATAAATAAGAATTATGTAGTATACATGCAAATACTTTTTTTTTTTTTCATCAATAGTGTCCTAATAAATTCTTAATAAATTCTTGACGGGAAAAGTTAAGCTAGCTAAGTTTTTTATGAAAAACTTTCTTAGATTTGAGGAAATCACGGAATGGTCTAATAAGCCCAAGGTCAAAGTTGCTGTCACCGTGGATGCTCCAGCGCTCGTTGAGATTGTCATGGATAGGCTAATGAGCTCTTAAAGAAAATTACATTGGGAAACCTGGAACAATTATGTAAATTAATTTGTGGGATGTTAGTGCTTTCATTGCTTATTGTGGTGGTGAAATGTGGTTTAATTTATAATTTTATGATTTTGTGTAATCAAACCATGCATTTTACTGCCTTTTTAATGTGTGGGAACTCTTTTATAAGATTAAACTAAGAACAATTTTAGCTGATCCATTACTGGAACAGGAGGGTATTCCGTGTTACTTTTGATATTAAAAAAGCTGTAAGTGTTTGATGTGGCTTGTAATCTTTATATTTTTGTTTTTGAATCTTTTTGAAGTATTTATTCTTTTCAGTTATAGTTTTTTTTTTAAATTTTTTTTAGTTTTAAATCCAAAACATTTGCTCAGATTTATTGGAATATCGAAGCATCTGTGGTACAGTAGTTTGACTATTAACACTGATCAATTCCTACAAATTTGTTGTCCATTTTTTTATCGGCAAAGTTGAGTTTTTTTGATAATTAAATTAAAAAGTGATTTAAATATGAGTCATAATTGTATATTATATGCTTTAACGGAACTTACCCAGATCCTAAAATTTCTACTTTTTCGAAGGCTAAAATAAAATTTAGCATCTAAGCTTTGCTATTTATATAATGCAACACTCCGATACTCCCATTACCGCTAATGAACTTGACGAAGCCTTCCTGCAAATAAAAGAGAAAAATTTGCCTACCTAAGAGGTACGTAACGCTGTGTACGTCGGGGAGGTTATTCGGAGTATTGGAGGGTTATATCTGTTAGCATTGGAGACTGCTTGCTCTCGGCTCCTACGTTTCATGAATCGGCGCCAGCGCTCCCACAAACCACCGCTCACGTCGCGAAATGTCGCGATCTCTCGTTCGCGCCTCCTGCCTCTTCAGTCGCGCGCTAACCGCTCTGGCCTTCCTCTGTTGTGAAGCGTAGCTTTCCTTCGCTCCATCCTGTTTGTGATAAAAGACTTCGGACGGATCCTTTGAGTTTCTAAGTCACGTTTTGAGCTCTTCTTTGGGCTTTCTCGGGATAAAGGAATAGTTCTTCGGGTTTCCACAGGACAGTGTAAGAGAAGTGCAAGGAGTAGTTCCTTGCGGTAGAGGAAGAATAAGGACGTAGAAAGAAGAAGAATATTGTTCTTCCTTGGCTTCTTCTCGGTGGTTTGTGGCTGAAGAGAAATTGAGTTTATTTCTCTTGTAAGTTTATCTTTTTCGGTGTATCTCGGTGTAGAGTTTTTTCGGTGTATCTCGGCGTAGAGAGAAAAACATAGAGAGAAGAAGAGAGAGCAACAAAGTGAGAGATTTTTCTTGTAAGTCGAGGTGATCGACTAGTGTAAATTCATCAAATAATAAAATCCTCAGCAACTCCATGGACGTAGGCAATTTGCCGAATCACGTAAATCTGTGTTCTTTTCTGGTGTGATTTTTTTTCGTTCTAATTTTTCGTTTTTTCTATCATTCTCCTGTTTTATTGATTTATAGATATACCACATCATCTGATATATCTAAATCTCGTCACAACAACTGGTATCATAGCTTTATTCAGATCTGAGGAAGAGCGATGACTGCAGATGAAGTGAATGTTTCAGGAATCAATAAATTTGATGACACAGATTTTGATTATTGGAGGATGCCGATAGAAGACTACCTCAATGTGAAGAAATTTCATCTCCCGTTATTGGGGAAAAGACCTAAAAGGATGGATGAGGCTGAATGAAATTTATTGAATCGACAAATTCTAGGGGTTATTCGATTGACCTTATCGAGGTCCGTTGCACACAACGTCGTCAAGGAGAGGACGACTGCAGATCTCATGGGAGTCTTATTAGGTATGTATGAAAAGCCATCAGCGAATAACAAGGTGTACTTGATGAAGAAGTTATTCAACTTGAAGATGGTGGAATGTGTTTCTGTTGCTCAACACCTGAATAATTTCAATACTATCACAAATCAATTGTCATATGTTGAAAGTGATTTTGATGATGAGATACATGCGCTGATATTGTTGACGTCTTTTCCAAATAGTTGGGAAGCCATAAAAATGACAGTTAGCAGTTATGCAGGTAAATTTAAATTGAAATGCGATGATATTCGTGATTTGATTTTGGCTGAGGAGGTTCGCAGGAAAAATTTTGGCGAAATCTCAGGTTTGAGTTCGACACTGAATGTTGATTTTAGAGGGGGATGACATGACAGAAACTCAAATAGAGGAAGATCAAAATCAAAGTCTGGTCAGCAGTGAATCTGCCGAAATTGTGGCAAGGCTGACCACATAAGGAGGAACTGCAGGAATCCCAAGAAGATGGAGAATGATAGCTCAAATGTGGTATTTGAAGAAGTACATGATGCACTATTGCTGGCAATTCATAGTTCTGTTGATGATGGAAGTGAAGAGGAGAGTAGATCTGGAGTACTCATTCTTATTGTTCTACAGACATATGATGGAGAACCACAAAGCTATGAAAAAATCTTACAAGATGAAAATTCGAGCAAATTGGAGCTGACAGAACTTCCACTAGGGAAAAATGCATGTGTACCAGTTGAAGACTGAGCTTGATGGCAGTAAGAGGTACAAACTAGACTTGTTGAAAAAGGCTTTCAACAGAGACATAATATTGCACATACAGTGAGAGTTGTAAGCAGAGACAAGAGTAATCCAAGAAATAACTTGGAGGTGCAAGACTATTTGAACCCTGCTGATATGTTGATTGAGGTTGCTACTCTTGAGAAATTGAAGTTGTGTACAACTTCAGTTGGTCTTCTGGAGTGAAGACAGAGGCTTTGAGTTGCAAAGGTGGAGGATTCAAATTAGAGGATTCATGATAGAGGATTCATGATAGAGGATTCATGTTTTAAGAAAAGGGCGACACCGCCAGTAGAGGATATCAGTTTGAGGACGGAGCTGTTGTAGCTCTCCAAGTGAGAGATTGTTAGCGTTGGAGACCGCTCGCTCCCTCCTACGTTTCGCGAATCGGCGCCAGCGCTCTCGCGAACCGCCGCTCCCGCTGTTCCCATCGCGAAAGGTCGCGATCTCTCGTTCGCACCTCCCGCCTCTTCAGTCGTGCGTCAAACGCTCCGACCTTCCTCTATTGTAAAGCGTAACATCCCTTCGCTCCCTTGTGTTCGTTATAAAAGACTTCAAACGATTCCTTTAAGTTTCTAAGTCACGTTTTGAGTTCTTCTTCGGGCTTTCTTGGGATAAAGGAAGAGTTCTTCGGGCTTCCACAGGACAGTGGAAGATAAGTATAAGGAGTAGTTCCTTGCGGTAGAGGAAGAAGTAAGAAGAATGAAGAAGAAGAAGATTGTTCTCCCTTGGCTTTTTCTCGGTGGCTTGTAGCTGAAGAGAAATTGAGTTTATTTCTCTTGTAAGTTTATCTTCTTCGGTGTATTTTGATGTAGAGTTTCTTCGGTGTATCTCGGTGTAGAGAGAGAAGAACAGATGGTGAAGAAGAGAGAGCAATGAAGTGAGAGTGAGAGATTCCACTTGTAAGTCGAGGTGATCGACTGATGTAAAATCCTCAACTAGTAAAATCACACCAGGAAAACACATAGATTTACGTGGTTCGGCAAATTGCTCACGTTTTGAGTTCTTCAGGCTTTCTTGGGATAGAGGAAGAGTTCTTCGGGCTTCCACAGGACAGTGGAAGAGAAGTACAAGGAGGAGTAGTTCCTTGCGGTAGAGGAATAGGAAGTAAGAAGAATGAAGAAGAAGAAGATTGTTCTCCCTTGGCTTCTTCTCGGTGGCTTGTGGCTGAAGAGAAATTGAGTTTATTTCTCTTGTAAGTTTATCTTCTTCGGTGTATCTCGATGTAGAGTTTGTTCGGTGTATCTCAGTGTAGAGAGAGAAGAACAGATGGTGAAGAAGAGAGAGCAATGAAGTGAGAGTGAGAGATTCCACTTGTAAGTCGAGGTGATCGACTGATGTAAAATCCTCAAGCAGTAAAATCCTCTTCAACTCCATAGATGTAGGAAATTTGCGGAACCACGTAAATCTGTGTGCTTTTCTGGTGTGATTTTTTTTTTCATTCTAATTTTTCGCTTCGTTGATCGTTCTCCTGTTTTATTGATTTATAAATATACCACATCATCTGGTATATCTAGATCTCTTCACAACAATATCCGCGTTATATCCCTTATAACCTACATGTAATCTACAAATATATGAAAACAGAAGCGCGAAACTTACTAGAAGGTACACGTAGGTTACAGGGAGGTTACAGTGGGTGTAACACATATATAACACCCTAATATCCTCTCAATAACCTCCTTGACGTACGCAGCACTGCGTACGTCTTATGTACGCAAATTTTTCTCCGAATAAAGGACAAGAAAATCATAATAGAATCTAACTAGAGACGGGGATTTACAGGACCGGCGGAATGGTGCGAGGACATAATTTTAATAGGGATATTGCGTAGGCAGTTATATGTTCTAGAGTGGTATGTGAATAAATAGCAAAGTATGCATATGAATCTCTCATAAAATATTGAGCCCATGCTTGAAAAAATTAATGAAGAATGAGAACCTTTAATTAAAGATTGTCCTCCAAGTTCAACAGAACTCAATTTATTAAGATCAAGAAGACAAAGGATTAAATGGTTGTTCGAACTTAAAAGTGTTAAGAGAGTGAAATGTTGGAAGAAGAATGAAATTATAATATTTTTTTTAAATTATGTTAAGAACTAATGTTATTTTTGTTTACAAAGTAAAGTACTTTGCAAACACTCACATCAATGGCATTCAGATGCCAGAGAGATCACACAAATCTTTCAATTCATATATTTGAATGGAGTTAAGTGTTTTTCTCAGTAAATTGAATTTGTTATAACATGAGCTTTTCTTAATTAGTTAAAGCATTTTTTTTTAATACATTCAATTTAAAGTGCAGATTTTTCTCAAAGTCTTCGGAAAATCTTGCTAGGCAGCAAATGTGTGTTATTTTTGCTTTTCAAATTAAGCCCACTCCGTCCGATTGTTTTGGAATTGGTATTAATTCTTCTAAACTTGAAGCCTCTAATTGCATAATTGATAAAATAGAGCATTGATTCAGTAGATCCTCCGTTATTCCCTAAAGGCACAAGGGAAAAAGCTTTCATCTCTTAATTATAATTTTCTTCATCATTATGAGGTCGAAAAGAAATGCACACTATTGCGTGAAATATTAATACCACACCTAAAGATTGTGGAAGTTTAATTCTCCACAACCTCAACAATATTAATATCATATGCCGAGCTATGATCATTTAAAGGCATTACAAGTT